ACCTGCCACTTGGAGGATGACAACCCAACCACTACACTAGGATCGCCATCCTCTTAGTTCTGTTTTTGTTTTTTTTACTTACTAGCTTTAATGTTATTAACTTGTTTAACTTTATCTGTATTGTTATTTGGCTGTTTTGTACTACTTTATTTGATTTATTTAATTATCACATTTATTTTATACTATATTTTTTTAAAAAAATACTAAATAAAATATTTATTAGTACTTGCAACTGATTATTATTAACCAAAACAGAACTTTTACAAATTTAAATATATATTTCTAATTATATTAAAAAATATTAAAATTTATACAAATAATATAGCAGTAATAAAAAATTTAAATAAAAATAAAAACAAAAATAACCAAATAATAAATTAAAAAAAAATTATAATTTTTTAAAAAATGTAACAAAACTATATAATTTTAAAAAGAGAATATTTTATAACACTATAGTACTATAGCACTAGAGCATTATAGCTAATTAAAATTTAAAATTATATATAATATAAAAAATTATTTTGTATAACAAATTAAAAAATTTTTTAAAAATTTGATTATAGCTCAAAATTTTATTTATAAAATTACTTTTTAGGTTTTAATAAAAAAATACTTACAAAATTTTATTATAAGTTTTGTTTAACTCTAACTTTTAGTTTTATTTTTATTTTAATATCTAAAGAATTAAACTTTGTTTATTTTAATTTATATATTATATTAATATTTAATATAAAATAGTATTATAGCACTATAGTACTATAGAAGTATTTTCTTTTAAAAAAATAAAATAAAATTTAAATTAAAATTAAAAGATATAGTAATAATAAATAAAATAACAGAATAAATAAATTAGTAAAGAAAAAAATAAATTAAATAATATAAATAAATTAAATAAAATAGTAAATAAATTATTTCTAAACTTAATATATTACTTTATTAAAAAGATTATAGTATAAAATCTAACAAAATAATTTATAAAAATATATTAGATCTTAAAATAAATACAATATAAAAATTTATATTAATTATTTAAAAGATAAAATCAAGAAAGAAAACAAAAAAATATAAATATATTATTATAAAATTAAAATAAAATTAGATATACAAATATAAAAAAATAAACAAATTATAATACTTAAAAATATTTGTATAAAAAGTTATTAGTATTTAAAATCTTAGTATAATATAAACTAAATCTGTATATCTGATATAAGCTTATATTATATACTTTGCAATAAAAAAAAAATTAAAATTAAAAATATTTAATAATATATAAAAACTATAAAAAAATAAAACAATACAAAAAATACAACAATTAAAGAAAAACTTAAAAAAATAAATAAAATAAAACTTAAAAAACATTTATAAATATTAAAAGAAAAAAGACAAAAAATAAATTTAAAATTATTAATAAAATAAACTAAAAAAATGCTTTAAATTTGATCTTAAACTTTAAAAAGACTAAAAAATTTTTAATTACTATAATTAATATAATAAAATAAGTTTTAAAAATATATAAAAAAATAATAACTTTTAAAAAAATATATATAAAGTAAAAACAATTATAAATATAAATAAAAGCTGTGTCATTAATTACCTGATTATTTTTTATCAGAAACCTACTCTTTTTCTTTTTTTTTAATATACAAATAGTCAGGTTTTTTATATATAATTTCAACTTTTTTACTCTTTCTCCTTCTAAAAAATTATCTGATTTTTGATACTTTCCTAAACAAAACTAAATTATAAAAAAAAAATATTAATAATAAAATACAAAAGACAATTAAGTTTAATTAATAAGAAGTGTAGTGATCTTGTAAAGTAAACAGACTATTAACTTCTAAGTAGCAAATCTGGTATTTAAATTTCACAGATAATAGATCTTAAAAATTATATTTATGTTATAGCAGCTATTTTATAATTAATTAAATTAGTATATTGTAATATTTAGTTATAATATCTTGAATAAAAGCTTAAACATCTATGCAAAATATAATATTAAATATATATAAAGAAATATTAATAATTTGTATTGTATAAACTTTGATATAGATTATAATAAATCTACTAAATACAGAAAGTAAAAGAATCAAAAAGTTAAAAGTCTATTTAAAAATTTTAAGTAAAGAGATAGTATAAACTTTTAATAATACTATTAGACCAATAGAAATTTATAAAATATTTGAAAAAGAATAAGTAAATAAATTAGATGATAAGTATATAAAGAAAACATATATATTAACTAGTTTGTAAGAATTACTAAAAAAAATATATATAAGTATATTATATCAGATTATCTGAATTAGTAATTTTAGAAACTTTGTTAGTTCTAAATAGCAGTTAATAGAAAATAATGTCAGAAATATGAATACTAGAATTTGAATAAACTTTACAAAAGTATAACAGCTTAATAATTAGTTCTAACTGCAAGTGCTAGTTTAGATCAATATGATACTAGATTAGTTATAAATATAAAATACAAAAGGCTTTAGTAGATTTAGTACAAAATTAAAAATTTTTTATATAAGTAAACTACTTTAAAAACTTCATAATTATAACATATTTGTATTAGTATTAATTAAGACAATTAGTAAGATAGATAGATAGGAAATACAATAACTAAAGTGTTAGATAAAAGATTTATAAATAGATTCTAGATATGGCAACTAGTGTAAAACCTTTGAACAGACTATTTAAATTAGATAATAATTAAAGTTGTATGAATAACTAGTTGTACATTCTTTTTATAATTGCTTTTGTTTTATTTTATAAACAGTTATTAGTTGAAACATATTATTAATAAAATTCTAGATTACAAGTACTTATTTTAATATTAAAAAAAAGGTTAATTAATAACTTCTAAATAAAAATATAAAAATATTTTTTTATAATTTTATTAACTAGTTTGATATAACTTTCAGATTTAAATAACTTTCTAATTGATATAATAAACTATTTTTAAGCATTTACAAAAAAAACCAAAAGATAATAAACTAAACTTTACACAAATATTATATATAAGATTTAATAAAGAAAATTAGCAAGATTGCTAAAAATAAAAAATACAACCAAACTTTTTAAATATATATTATTGAAATTATTTTTGAAGTATATATTTAAAAGAATTGTAATTAAAGTAAAGTAATAAATATAACTTTAGTAGCCTAAAAATAATAAATTTAATTAGCAATTATGTAAATATATTTATAAAAATAATCTATAAGTAGGCTAGACAATTAGTATATATTTATAAATTAAATCTGTGCATTTAACTATAAATTCTATTATAAACCAAGTTTTAAAAATTTTGTCTATATATATATAAGAGTAAGTTAATAGAAAAGATACAAATTTTTTTTAAATAAAAGTTTTCTCAACTTTAAACTTAAATATCTTAATAACTATTTAATTGAATTTAATAGTTTTGTTTTATTTAAATTTTATATAATTCTAAAAGTAAAATAAAAAAATATCAAATTTAATTAAATATCTTAATAACTATCTAATAGTTTTGTTTTATTTAAATTTTATATAATTCTAAAATTAAAAAAAAAATATCAAATTTAATTAAATATCTTAATAACTATCTAATTGAATTTAATAGTTTTGTTTTATTTAAATTTTATATAATTCTAAAATTAAAATAAAAAAATATCAAATTTAATTAAATAGTTATTAAAATATTTAAAAATGATTTGCTTCTTTTCTATTGACTTACTCATATTTATAATTTGTTAATAAACTTTTATTCAAATTAATTCAAAATTTTAGAATAAATATACAGTAATTTATCATTTAAGCAACTTTATTTAAAGCATTATTGTTAATTTACTTAATATAATTTTGATTTTAATATATAACTATAATATTTAATCATTTAAAAAAATAATTTTTAAAATGTTTTTATTAATTAAAACTTCTATATAATACCAACTAGATTTTATAATATAGAGATGATTATATAGAAAATATTTTATAACTATTATACTTTTATAAAATTATCAACTTTTGTATTCAAAAATGTGATTGTATAGATGTTAGACTGTATATAATACTTTTTGTTTATTCTAAATTTTGAACAAATAGTAAAAATAATAAAAATAAAAGAAATAGTCTAATTGTCGTCGGCGATGACAGTCACCGGATTGCAATTGAGCAATGGAATCAAAACACACGTTAAAGTTAATTATAATTAGAGTCAGGGTTAGAGTTGAATTAGGGTTAGGTTAGGGCAAAGAATTTTTTTAATTAGAACATAAAAGGTGGTTCCATAGACGAAATTTTGAGCTATCACAAATTTTTGAAAAATTCCAATGCTTTCTTCGGTTTCGGGGTACACAAACGGTACACCTGACCCCGTGATGTGATTGGCCAATTGCAACCCGGTGACTGTCATCACCAGCGACAAATAGATTCGCTCAAAATAAAACTATAAAAACAAAGGTTTAATTATATTAGAGTACTGTTAAGAAAAAACCTCAATCCGAAAATTATTTTAGTGAACTTAGTTTCTAAAAAATCATTAGTGATAATTAGTAATAACAGTCTTCTGATATAAAATATCAATATTATGATTAATTGTATAATTAGAACATAAATTATAATTTATATACAGGTAGGTATATATGTACATAATATGATTTTATATATCAAGAAAACCCTTGGAAAAATAATGCTAATAAGCATGAATGTGAACAAAAATCATATATACAAATTTCAAGATGTCAATAAATAAAATTAACTTTTTTTTATTTAAAAAAGAAAATATGAATGATAAATAAATGCATGTGTAATAATAAATATAACATTAAAAAAAATGTTAAATTATTAGCGGTATTTAAATTACATGCATGCATATATGCATACGAGAAAAGATTTGTAACAACCTTTGTAATATCTGATATTGTTCAAATAAATACATATATATGTGTAGATTTTTTTTTTTTTTCTTTTGAGGAGATTTCAAATACCTCAACAGTTTTATCTCAAAGGTTCCCGCCCTAATCGAAAACACCTTCAAAATTAAGTAATCTACTTTTATATGACGCATCAGGATGCACAGTGAAAGAGGTGTCTAAACTTGGTATAATTTTATCAGCTGCCTTAAAAGTATCTTCCAAGATTTCTGGATCTTGAGTAATGTTCCACCAATGATTAAACATATTTAATAATTTCTCAGAACTAGGACGTTCCACCGGATCAAACTTTGTACATTGACCAGCAAATTCAATGTAAGATTTTGGCGTTCCTTCAGCAAAATTTGGCCTTAACCCATTAGATATATCCAATGCTAATTTATTATCATGAGCTCTATCAACAAAAGGTGGTATAGATGTAGAAATTTCAGCCATTATAATTCCGATACTATAAATATCTGAAGCTTTTGTATATTTTTGACCCAATATTATCTCAGGAGCTACATAAGGTAATACACCATAAAATTTTTTAGGAGACATTTTAGGTAATTTTTTAGCCGGACGTGACAAACCTAAATGAGCAAGTTTTGCCACGGTTAAACCATCTTTAATTTGACCCATGAGGATATTTCCAGGATGTAAGTTACGATGAGTGTAACCAGCATTATGAATAGTTACAAGATTACCAGCGATATTACGAAGCCAATATAATTTATCACACCAACTTAAATCGAAAAAATTTTGATGTAATAAGTTACGAATATCCATATATGGAGCTAATTCAGTAACCATGATGTAATCATTTGTTTCAGGATCTTGAGTGATACCAAAAAAACGAAGAAAACCGTGATCATATCTAACCTCACCATCATGAGGAGGAGTTGCAGATATACAACGATGATGTATTTTAAGCTAAAAACATTATAATTTAAAAAGTATAATTTAAAAAGTATAATTTTAAAGTTAACAAATTTAAACATAACATTTGAAACTTAATAATATATTAAAGTTACCTCTTTAATATATTCATCGGACATCTCTTTTGAATCATTAATACACTTCAAGGCAACAGGTCTGCTTTTAATCATGGAACCCCAAGAAACTCTTTTATCCATGTCAACCCAATCAGCAGAATAAACGATACTAAAACCACCTTCACCAATTTTTTTAATATTAGCTAATCTATCATAAGGAATCCATTCCAAATATGGATCAAACTGATCTTTAGCATTTAACTGAGTTTCTTTAATAAAATTATCAATTCCACGGTGACCACTGGACCAACCTTTTGTTAAACGACGAGTATCACATTTACACCAAACTTCGTTGTTAAGTCGACGTTTCCAATGAAAATATGGATATTGACATTTTCTACGACTTTCTATTGTTCTAGATGTTCGAGATGTTCGAGATGTTCTAGAAGTTCTAGATGTTTGAGAGTGGGAATTTCTATTACCCATCGTTTGATTACAATAAGGTTTTGTGGATTATGACTGATAATTTTTTTGATTAAATGCAAAGGCTTAAATTCAATTAAAGTAATAATAAATAATGTTAATAAATAAATAAATAATCGATATCGAAAATTTCTGATAATAAAAGAAAGAAGTTTATTAAGAAAATGGGAATGATGAAAAAAATTTTTACCTGGTCAAAGGCCAAAATCTATTTAAAAAAGTCTTATGAATAAAGGAAGGCAAAGCCAACGAGAAAAATACAGATATGTATTAATCCATTTATTTTGAACCATTTTTAAGGTTCAATCATATTTTAACCAATTACGGATGATGGCGGTTTCAATTTTCTTGTAACAGTAATGCATACTTTATTTTGAATTTTTGGAGCTACGTATGTACATATGTACATACACACATTTCACGAGGTGCACAAATAAAATTTATCGTTTCAAATTTTTTTACGTAGAGTCAACGTAGAATTGAGGTCATCACTTAAAATGTAACGATAAATGATAAGGTCTGATGTAAAAAAAATGAATTCTTGTATATGTTGTAAATGGGAACGGAATTTAATTTCTTAAACAAGTTAGAATTCTAGGGTATAATTTATTTATTCTATATAATAATAACGATAAACCTATACCAATATGCATGTCGTAACATTTGTTGCATTTATTAGAGTTTGTAGGTGTACATATTTAACTTGTAAAAGTTCACAAGGGTAACTTCAGTTTTTACACATCTACGTAGCTGATCTTTTTACAGTGAAAAAAATAGAGAATTGATATTTCCATCACCTATAACAATTTCTTGACATTCTTGACGGATCGTCGGTACTGGATAAAAAAAACACCGTTCTTGATAGAGTACGGCCAGACTCTAATAAGTCTATCGCACACAATATAATTTTTCCATTAGCGTTACGTTTAAATTTGATTATGATCTGATTGGAAATTTACTAATACATGTATGTAATGTAAGTTTTATATTTATTATTATATTAGACATAGAAAAAAGTCTAAACGAATCAATAAATATAACATGAATCTTGAAGATATATAGACGTACGTACAGAATGTAAAAGAAGATATATAGAAGTACGTACAGAATGTAAAAGAAGATATATAGAAGTACGTACAGAATGTAAATGAAGATATATAGAAGTACGTACAGAATGTAAATGAAGATCTATAGACGTACGCACAGAATGTAAATGAAGATATATAGACGTACGCACAGAATGTAAAAAGACGTACGTACAGAATGTAAAAGAAGATATCCACTATCCACTATACATTCTAATATTTATGCTGTGTGTCAGATCAGACATACTGTAATCAAAATTTAGCGTTAAATATATACTGAATTTTATTAGGAAAACTTATATTAGGTGAAGAGTTTGTATTAGCTGGGTTATAATCATTTTAATATAAATTAATACTGTAGTAAAATAAAAGAAATTTTATTATCTATTTATATATGTTTGTATATTATGGTTTTAAATATTAAATATTAAATTAATAAGAAATTATCGTTATACGTAATTTTCTATAAATTAATTTTCTCATGTGATACTCAAAGTACGTACGTACCTACATTACAAAAATTACCTTTTTGGTGTCGATGCGGGAAAGATGAAAAAAACTTCCGATGCTGGCTGGTAGGGTTCAGGGCATGGGAAAAAAATTGGGCATGCCCATATGGGCATGCCCCTGAGCTAAGGCATGCCCCTCATGCCCATGGGCATGCCCTTTTTAAATCATGTGATTAACACATAGTTCACAACTTCTTAAAAATCTTACATGTTGATTTAGTATCTACGGTTCTAGTTTACCTGAACTTATTAGCCAATTAAAATACCTTTAAACATCACATGACAAGGGCATGCCCTTAGGGGCATGCCCCATGCCCCTGTGCCCTAAACTCTACTGGCTGGCTTATGTATGGGTGACACAACACAAACAAAAACAATAACAAATAATTCTCTTAAAGAAACTAAAAGTTGAACATAATCTAATATACGTAATTGTAAGAACATTTATTATTTATGAAAACTTTTATGCTATCAAAATGATGCATTGGTATATATACAGATATGCCTTTCAAAAAAGATTAATAAATAAATTTTGAAACTATTCTACAAAATGAAGGGAAAGTAATAAGTTTATATCCATGTTATCAATGTTATATGATAGATGATTGCAAAATCCCGTGATCATTATTAACGTTATTGAAATGAAATTACTCACGGTAAAAAAAAAAAAAAAAAAAAGAAGGTATTATAGAAAAGAATCAGATTCTTCCAATTCCAATTTAAAAGTAGTTTGGTAAATTTGGTCTGTAACTTGATCTATTGCAATAGCATCAATTTCCATTTTACCAAAACGAAGTGAAAATAGTACAGGCCTTTTCATTCCATGAGAAGTATTTTGAGAATCAATTTTAAGTCCACCAAGAAATCTCATCCCTGGCTCGTCGCAATATGTTCCAAAGCTTTTTCGAGTAACGTAAATTCGATAAGTTCTTATTTGTTGTTTTTTAGTGAATGGTACGAAAACTTCGGAAAATTCTTGATCGACTTCAACTATTTTAAATAAAGAAAATTTAAAATTTTTTGTAAATATATAAAATAAGAGTTTAATAAATACCTGTTGTTCCACGTGTTGCCATTTGATGGAATTTAAAAATTCTTCCTTTAGGAGTTCTTCTTTCTGGAGGGTCACCTGGTCTCCATTCAAAAGCAAGTTTAACACCATAAGAATATTTCAATACTCTAGTTTTAATGGTTTTCATATTTAATCCATATTGAACGGCACCACGAGCAATTGCCGTAACAGGATCTTTTGGAACCAAAATATTTGGAATGTAATTGAAAGTTGATCTTATTCTGGTTTGTAAATATTTTGACTCGCTGAAACCACCAACTAAATAAATAGCAGCACAATCATTATGTGCATTATTCAATTGTAAACTTATTAAATTAATTATTTGATTAATTACTGGATCAAACATTGCTTTAACAGTATAAAAATCAACATCTATTATCCAATCATCTTCTACTAGTTGATTTTTTAAAGGTTCTTGAACATATTGTTTAATAGCCGGACATAATTCGTTAAAATCCAATTCAAATGTTCTAAAATCTTTTGAACCAGTAAAAACAGTTTTAACAAGTCGACAAAATTCTTGAATCATATATTGAAATTGACTATAATGATTCTTTTGAAGTAATCTGAGAGCTGAAGAACCAACTATACGTTTAATAAAATTTATAAATTCTCTGTCAACATAAGAACTACCATAAAAACCTCCAGTACGTTCAGTTATTTCTCCCAATCTATTTCCTTTCAATAATCTTCTGGTTGTAAGATCTATAGTACCACCCCCACAATCAACTAATAAGAATGATTTTCCAACTGGAAATTCGTAACATTCTTTAAGCGTATCTATACAATATATTGCAGCAGCCTCGGCTAAAGTAATGATATATATTAATGTTTAATTTAATGTTCAATTTATTAATCATATGCTAACCATATATATATTAATCATATGCTAGCCATATATATTAATCATATGTTAACCATATATATATTAGTCATACGTGTTAAAACAAAAAAATATACATACGTTCTGTAGTAAATTGCAAATTTGGAGAATTAGGTGTCTCTATTAATTCTGCATTATATATGCCTAAATAATAATATAAATAATAATATTGTTATTATTACTATATTTTTTTTAAAAAAAGAATTTTAGTACAATATTCCAACAAGATAAAAAAATAAATCTTACATCCTCTCATTATTCCTTTTGCTTTTTCAGAAAATTCAGCAGGAACTGCAAATACCAGTAGAACATTTCTGAAGAAATTAACACATGGCCAACGTTTGTCTATGGTATCTCTTACCACCTACACACAATAAACTAAGTAAGTAGATTTTTAAATTATGTACGGTGCAGGACATCTTAACAATTTCATTAATTTCGTTTCAAATGTAGAAACCAAATTCTAGTTAAATTACCAATGGAAATTTGTCTCTACGGTGATTTGTCAAGACATCCTGGACCATATCGCCGAAACATACTAGATATAGTGAAAAGTATACATACTGTGCCTTTATTTTTAAAATGGTAAAGGATTTATAAAAAAAAAAAAACATTAACAAAATAATAATAATAATAATTTCGATTTTCAAAAATAAATATTTTTGAAAAATGATTTATACGTACCTAATTCTCTGAGATAATCAGTTATTGCTTGTTTATAATGTAAATTTTCGGGTAAAACTGGCTTTTCATCATCTGGAATATCACCCAAATGTAATTTAAATAATTCAACATGTGTCGAATTATTCGATTTTTGAGGACGTCTTCTACTTGGTTTTTCAGCCAATGCTATAGGATTTTTATTTTACTATCAGTGTCATTGATAAAGTTAAACCGTTATATAGATAGATATTAAAAACAAAAAAAATTTTTTTCACCTGAACGACCCCACGCTTTGACTTCACTCAAATCATTGTCATACAATAATGCTGTGTTAGTTTTAAATTGACCTACATGGTCTGGCCAAATATTGTTAGTTGATATTTCAAAATTTACTTTATTAGCGTAGGAAAAACCCTATTTAAAAATTAAGATAATGTGATTGTGTTGAGTTTGCTTTAAAATTTTGTAAAAAAAAAAAAAAAAAAAAAAATGAAAAAATTATCTTACCGAAAATGTGGTTCCAAAATCTACATGAATGAAAAATCATTTACGTAATGTTAATGTTATTAAGCTCGTTCAATAAGTGGGTAAAAGCAATAACCATAAGATAATATATAACCAATTTATTCACCTATTCCAACAACAATTCGGATATCTCTTAGAGACATGATTAATATCGAGAAATTAAAATATATAAAAAAAAAAAAAAAAAAGAGTGTGTGAAGATTACGTATGTATTTACAGATTAAATTATCTTGGCACTACTGCACTAACAAAAAAAAATAGTAAAACAATATATATATATTCACTTCGGACATGTTTGCTCATAACTCCGGCTATGTCACTCAGTGATTGTTTAACTGCTTTAAATGTAATCTACTACTAACTGTTAATTGGTCATTATTCTGTTGGTTCTGGAAAGTTTTGGTGATACTTTAATCAAATCAATTTTTTTTTTAAGAAGAATTTCAATGCATACCGTATAAGTTATATTTCACACATGTACATACGTGTACGTATGTATGTACATATGTACTAAATTATTTTGCGCACACCTAGAGTACGTATACGTATGTATAATTATTCAATTCATTGTTAATAAAATTTCATTCTTGATATTCTTAGTGGTGCATGAGTAGCATTTTGATATAATGTCGGGTTAAATATTAATTCCAGATCTACATATGTACTACGACCTCTGCGGATCCAATTCACATGAGTGGTTCGTTAATTTCACTGTCACGTGTCAGTGTTGTGACGCACAAAAAATCTTTTTCATTTAAGTATATTATAAAAGAGCCAAATATTAGAATAACATATAGTAAAATTGCTTAAAGAAAATTGTTTGTTAAAGCGCAAAAGGTTGTTTCTTACACAGTTCTTTGAGAAATAAGCGATTTTTTTAAAAAAGCGAACGTTTTGTTTTGATCTTCCTGATCGTGACAATGAAATTTTTATGGCGATACAGAGGTAGTTGTTAGAGACAGTTGGAGTTGAGGTTATTGATTTTTTAGTATCCAATAAAATCAGCGCTGCAGATCAACCATATTTGACCGGTCGCACCTGTACGGACGATAAATTTAATAGCAACATAAGTTTGATTTTAAATTTGATATAGCAATAAATGAGTTGTAACGATAGCTAAATAAATCACATGACGTCATAAAAAATTGTCAAGATAAAATATAAAATTTTTACTACTTTCTTGTTCTTATTTCACTTTTTCGTTCTTTGCAAAACTCTTCCAGTGACTGAATTTCAAGAATTGATTAAAAGATCAAAGACGGAATAAACCAAATAGAAGTTAAACCAACTTTGGGGTATAAAGCATACGTTGATATCACGTAAATTTAATAAGACGATTAAGAAATTTGTCAAGAGATTTGTGAATCAATTTTCTTATTCATCCTGTTCATTATTGAATGGAAGGTTTCTAATGCTATATATAAATTTTTTAAAATTAATAACACGTTAAATTCAATAATAAATTCGAGCCCACAGATTAATATCTAACAAATTAAAAAAAAAAAAAACTTAACTCCATATAATGATGAATAAAGCGTGACAACTAAAAAAAAAAAAAATGGTATATTAGCTAAATATATCGTATCGTATTGACTTTTTTTTTTTTTTTTTTTTTTGTTTAGCCAGAGAAAACCTTCAAAAGGCGACTAGGAGTTACCTCCTAGACAGTGTGAGAT